TATAGCATGCTGATTTCTGAATTAGGAGGTTATAGATTCAAGCTCCACATTGCTACTTTCGTAGTCTAGATTGACACTACAGTGCAATGTCAGGGAGGGAGCATCTTAGTGTCAAAGGTGCCTTCAAATGAGATATCAAACCAAGGCCCTGTTTGCCTGTGCAAGTAGACGCTACAGATCCTATGGCACTATTCAAAAAGAGAAAGGATTTTTCCCCGTTGTTTGGTCATTCACTCATGACTGGACAACACTAGCCTGCTTCCCTCACAAACGTTCTTTCTGCCTCCTCTCCCTCCCCCAACCATCATATCCCTTGAATATTTGGTAACTTCTGATTGTATCTTTACCAAGAAATGATGTTTCCATCATCTGATATGTGAAAGTATGACTTTGACCACAAAGCTAATCCCTACCTTCTCAGAGGTAATTATCCAGGTTTGCTAATTTATTGCAACACTATGCTGTCAATCTGAATCTTGCCATTTAAATGGATATGTTCAGAGAATGTAGGTTTGACACAAAAATAAAGTACTTTTTAAGTTTTACCCCAAAAGAAAATTTGCTTCACCCAACTGTGAGATGAAAAGGAAATGAAGCAAAAGCCACTTCCTGTTTGCAAATTCAGATTATATTTGCATTTAGATAGTATCTTTCACGTCGGAAGAAAGTGCCAAAGTGTTCAAAGTCAGTCAAATTTCCAATAGCATAGGACAGATCCAGAAGAAAGGACAATTACAAACAATAATAATCCTTGTATTTTGATATTGTGCCTCTCGTTTCAGAAGGTCGTCTGAGTGCCTCCTAGAACTTACTGTGAAGTGCAGTGACCATGTATTTTGTAGGTGAATGCAGCATCAGGGAAATGCGGATGGGATTAATTTAGGCAATCAGGGAATATCGATGCAGAATCTTTCCACCATGAAATTGACTGGGCAAATGGGGTCCACTATAAGGTACCTTTTCTTATTCAACATGTTCATATGATGTTGGTTATGATTCATTGTAGCCCAGCCAAGCAGCAAGCAGAAAAACAATATTGGCTCAAAACATATAATAGGATATGGGAATGACCTGACAGTAAAATGGAAATGAAAGGATACAAGATCACAAGAGAAATGAAAGGATACAAAAAAGAAGATGCTACAGGCGATCCTTACCTAGGTTTGGAGACGAGCAGAATTAATCGAAATGAATTGCATCCAGCAGTTGTTCTTGGAAAATCACTTGATATAATTTTTATTCCATGCCTACATTTTTACCCATTGTTTTCCAAATCTAGCTTTTTTTAAAAAAAAACAGTATTTATAAGCACAGTATTATTTTGTAATTAGTTTTACAGTCATCCCTGCCGGAAAGATGGTCACTAGTTGGTCATTGATCATCTGACAAATGTAGCTTTAAGACCTTAATAGGCGGATAATTTTTGGGTGGTGCATTGCTTGCTTCAGAAATAAATTAAGTCTGAATCCAATTCTTCAGAAATAAATTACGTCTGAATCCAATTTGTAAATTTATAAGATTACGAAACTCACAAAATTAGCTATATTTTTATTAAAACAAATGGGAACTGATGTAGGGTGTGTTTATTTTGCAAGAGCTTTTGCACTTCGTTATCTAAAGCTCTCCGAGATGCTCTCCGAGACGCTACCCCAGGTGAAGGGCACTTGTTGTTGTTTTATAGCTATTTCTACAATTGAAGGTGGTTGAGATTACCCACAAAATCTAACATAAAATATTCCAGAATTTGAGACAATTACAAAACCAAATAAGAGACTGACAGAAACCCAAACAGTATAACTCTAAATGCCTTGTACATTTCCCCAATTTTTGTGCTAGCAATAATGTCTTTCAAGCCTCACATTAACCCACAATGTCATCAACTTCACAGCTTCACAGATGTGCTGAGCTGACCTACTTCTTCCAACTGGTACAAGTACAAGCTGCAGATTCTCAACCACTGAAGTTAGCCCCCACTCCCCCTCCCCCCCACCTTGCAAATGTTGACAGTCACAGTCTTGTACTGACTGCAGCTGGAACCAAGCACGAGAATAATCATCTCCCTCGCAGATCAGTTCATATCATGTCCTATTTAGTATTCAAATAAGCAACAGGATCATATGCAAATCTGACGTCTGTATTCCTGTTAGCTCTGAAAATCATTCTGTTTACTCAGAATGAATTTCAGAACCAGTAAGGGAAAGGGGGGAGGTATTATTAAAGTTACTATTTAATGTCAGCAGCCTATTAAGACCTACTGCTGTGTCTGGGACTCAGTATTTCTGAAGGCGATAGGGTGAAATGAATGGAGCCACCACAGTTATTTTCAGAGCAAGGCAGCATCTTGGGAAGCTAACGTGAGGAAGGATTACATGATGCACACCCCATGCGGGGCAAAGAGTTGCAAAAACTTAAAGAGAAATGACAGCAAAGTTCATGAAAGATAGAAAGGGGCGGAAACAAAATGAAACCAATTCAACTGAAACAAGATGTAATCTCAAATCCACAACCGTCTTAAACTGTCTTGCATCTGAACTTCCATTTGAATTATAGCACGCACTTGTGGGCATCTCATTTACCCCAGTGCAAAGAACTCCAGAACACACAAGATCCTACATTTGAGAATTGCATTTAGATCTAATTGGCGTTCCAAAAATGCAGAATAAAAAGCTATCATGCACACATTCTATTTTGTGTGCTCTGGTATAATTTGTAGGCTTGGAATTCAAGCGGTATCTCTCACAGTGTTAGTTTTAAAGCTAATTAACAAGCGAATTGTTTATTTTAGTACTTATTCCACATTAGCTATTCAAGAAGCTAAAAAAAATACACAACATTTATAGGGAATTATGACTTGTGGTAAATATTGTGGTAAAGGGAAGCGTTATCACTACTAACAACTTAATGAATTTTAGTTTAGCAACTTTATTTTATACTGCAATGCATGAGGATTGCCCTGTTTTCAAGGTTAGGTGGAGTAAAAAAGTAAATAAATAACAACAACAACTTGGATTTATATAGTGCCCTCCACGCCGGATGGCGTCTCATGACACTAAAAGTTATTTTACTCAGAAAAATGTGAGTTTTACTCAAATAACTGTTTAGGACTAAGAAACATAATAATCACGAGTAGTTTACCATTTGAAAGTAAACAACAACGACAATATCAAGCTCTCCGGGACGCTACCCCACATGAAGGGTGCCATAAAAATGCAGGTTGTTGTTGTCGTAATAAATTTAATGAGAGCATTGAGGTGGATCGTCAGCATTCACAAGGGCTTTGAAGTCAATTTCAATTGCTGTTGTGGCAATTATCAGCGGAAACTGGGGGGTGGGGTGTGTGTGTGTGTGTGTGTGTGTGTGTAGATGGCTAAACTCCTTAGACTTAATTATTTTGTCCTCACCAAAAACCTTAGCCATCTTTACACAGCACCTCTTTACAAATTATCCATCACCAATCGATTTTTTCCCTTCTTGCAATTTCATGACTCACAACATACGAAGCCGGCAATGCAGTTGATTGGACCGTTGTTGCGTTTGATAGAAAGAGTTTGTTGACCTTCCTCTTCAACTCTGTTAATCATGCAGTGCGTGCATCCCTAGTGCTGCCCTTATGGTTAGTAAACAGTGACAACTAACATTACACTCCTTTTGTACTCTAGTACCTTGTAAACACACAAGACATTGTGGTTAGTTATCCCTATTATGAGTAAACAGGAAGTCCATCCATTTCCCAATGATTTTGGATTGTGCAATGTTTTTTCACTCATTTGACGCCTCTGACTTAAACTAATTTCGGGGCCACAACACAAAAACACTTGATATTGCAGCTTTCACTTTGCTAGCCTAATTTTCAAACTAACAGACAAAAAGCCCCCGACTGTCACCCACGGTGGAAAACCCAAGAGTAGTGTAGGGGAAGCCCCTGAAAAACTGAAGTGCAGAACAACATTAGGATTCTAAGAACTTACATTTTGTATTCCATTTTTAATTCTTGTAGATTTATTGCTTCTGAGCATTTGTTTATATACGTCTTAGGTGGATGAACTGCCACATAAAATGATCATGCCGGCAAAGCCATCCCTGTTTATACAGTCACTATTATTTTATTGGACCTACCATACGGATGCAGTGCTACATACATGATATGGATAAATTCACAAAATCCTACAATGCTTTAACTGGAGAAAATCTCTATAATCTGCAATTACACTTACGCGGTAAAATGATATACTTTTGCTGCAAAGATGAAACAATTTAACCTTTGAACATAAAGGATAATAAATTAAATTCACTCTGGGTCCTTTATAATTTATTGGGCACCAGCAAGTTTCAGATGCAGCAGTAAAGCTGAAATGTTGCATTATACGCATGTTTGTTCACAAGGCTAAAGGAAAATTCAATTGAAATGCCATTAATATTTCGGTCTTGGTGTTCAGTTACTAGAGCAAATGCTCGTCATTTAACAAGTTAATAATCGAGGAGTTTCCCACAGATATGACTGATCTGGCAGTGATAAGATACCCATTGCACTGTTGGAATTCCCAGAAAATATCCCACGACTAATGCAGAGGCTCAGAGCACATCATTTTATTCACAACTTTAACATTTAACCCAGCGCTTCTGAAACATAATTAAACGAGTTTATGTTGGCAACGATCTATCCGCCTGATCTCACAGATCTTCACTTTGAAGTGAACGCCCTGAGTAACGGCTGCAACTGTTTGTGGGACAGTTTGTCAATTCGCTTGACGATCTATTCTGTGAAGCGCTTTGACACGTCTCGAAGACGTGATGAGGCGCGATATCAAATGCAATCATTATATTATTATTATTATTATCATAATTAACAACATTCTCCCAAGTGTGTGACTTATTCCCCGCCGTCCTTTCTGTCTCAGTCAGTTTTGACAACAGCCACCCAACTTCTCCCAACAACTTCTCTTCCCCCCCCCGAGAAAAAACAACCAACAAAAAAAAGCTTTTTTTTTTGTTTTACTCACCACAATCAAAGACGTTCTCACAGCCGCAGAAGCGTTGTGACGGATTTCTGCAGCTGTCCCGGGTTTAAAGAGCCCTTTAGTGAAGCGACGGCTGGATTCTCCCATGTCGAGATGGTAAGGCTCATTGACAAGGTTGTGTGTGTGTGTCCCACGCCTGGTCTCTTTGACTTGGTCTGATGGCTTGTTCAACCAGGAAACGGAACTTACCCTACACAATGATAGTTTCAAGAGGCTCTGTTTCCCCCCCCTCCAATAAACGTCAATTCATAAAGGGATTTTTATTTTCTTCTCCTTTTTCTCCTTCTTTTTCTTCTTCTTGTGTGCTGTTTCAACAGAGAGAGAGAGAGAGAGAGAGCAAACTGGTCCCTCTCTGGTCCAGGAAAGTGAAATCTATCAGATCACCCAGGACGTGATGTGCCTGAGCTAATTATCCATCCATCTACCCTTTCTCCCCTCCCACCCCCTCTCTCTGCTTTAGCTGTCAAGTTTTTTTAAAAAAAAGTTTGAAGAGAAAGTCCACATCCACTCCTGACTTGTGACATGATTTTTATTGCTGGGAAGACACTGCCAATTTTGGCCTCTATTCGTAACGCAGTGCAAAAATACCACTAGTTGTTTCGTTCGACTTTGGTTGGGTAAAAAAGTTAGATCAGCAAATCATTTGTTAAAGGCACATTTCCATTTTTGTCTCAACTTTGCTGGTTTGCCAATTGTCAGCACCACCTAGTGATAGCTTGCATGTTGGCAACTCACAAAATCATCACTGTTCCACTACTTGTCTCTGAAATTTAAGATTAGTTTATTGTTTATCGTCTCATTCATCAAACAAAAATAATAATAATAATAATGATTTGGTCTCTCCATCCACGACTGCCCCGTTTCCTTTTTGAAATGATTATTAGTTATTTAAAAAAATGTTACAAATATGCTGCTCTAAAATCCGTAAATTTCATCTGGTGAGGTTATTTTTTCTGTCCAAAGATAAACTGCATTGTCCCCCGGGAGCAGTTTTACTTAATTCGAGTATTTATAATAATAATAATCCTTGCTTTTGATATAGTGCCTTATCACGTCTTTGATACATCTCAAAGCGCTTCACAGAACATACTGCAAAGTGAATTGACTGTATATTTTGTGGGCGAAACGTGGCAGGCAATTCCGCACAGCAGCGTCCCACAAACGGTCGTGGATTGAAGTGAACAATTTATTTTTTTAAGGGATTATCACTTAAAGGTAAAAATAAATGCATAGTTGCTGTTTTGGAAACGGCTGCTCATCTGTTTCGTAGTTATTTGTTTAGACCAGGTGACTGCTTACTTGAATCTGCGGGAAAAGTTCAATTTGTGTGGAAATAAACTAGTTTAAGAGGTGAAGTTAGTATTATTATTATTATTATTAAGTGCCTTCAAAAATACGAGTGGCCTGAAAGTAGCCACTTTCTCCTTGTATTACTTTTAATCAACCAGTGGCAGCCCAGATTTTTTTGCCTTTTGCTTTCAATAGATCAAATATGTATGAGGTATTAAGTAACCTCACCCATGTCAACTTTTATCTCCTCTCTAACTTTAACACAGTGGACTCAGGAGCTGTGCTCAGCAGCCAAAGATGAACTCTCACAGGGACATGTATTACAATGTCAGAGTCAGTAACGTGCAATGTTTATGCATTAGAAGGGCTCTTAAGGCACTTGTAGATGGCGTGAACTGAAAGTCCATCACATGTCTCCTCTGTTGCTGATAGATGCCTTAGTAGCACTTCCAAATTATTATGTTTATAATTCATTTGAGATTTAAAAAATATTCATTTTTATTTGTTCTGGTTGTATTTTCAGTTCTCTACATCTCTGGCCATACGGTCAAAAGTTCCATGAGGTGATACACTAATACACCCACAATTTAATTTGCTTAAAATAATTTTTCCAGTTTTTCAGTATACAGTCTCCTACTTTATGGTCTATTAATCTTATACTGTATAATTGTGGAGTCCTGTAGCTCAGTGGTTAGAGCACTCGCTTTGCAAGTGAGAGACCTGAGTTCAATTCCAGGCAGAGGGCGAAACCTTGGGCAAGTTTCCTTACTCCACACAGAGCCTAATAATAATCCCTCCAAAAAACAAAAAAAAACAATAATTAAATTGGTCATTTTCAATCTATGACTGTTTGTGGGACATTGCTGTGCGTAATTGGCTGCCGCGTTCGCCCACAAATATACAGTCAATTCACTTTACAGTGTGTTCTTTGAAGCGCTTTGGGACGTCCTCCCGACGTGAAAAGCGCTATATCAAATGCAAGGATTATTATTATTATTATTAATTGTATAATTTGCTACAAAGTGGGGAATTAAGATAACCTAGTTTTGCTTTGGTTACCCATCTTTATGGCTTGTTAGTAACATGGACTCATATAAGACCAGTCAATTGATAAACTTGAAAACATTAGTCTCCCTACTATAGCCCTAAGTTGTCTCTTTGTTTTGTTCATAGCTCATTCCTCTAATATTGGGAATGTTCCTTGTTGCTCTACTCTGCACTGCCTCTTATGTTGCAGCTACCAAAATTGTATCAGTACCCCAGGTGCTGCAACAACAACAACTTGCATTTATATAGCACCTTTCACATGGGGTAACGTCTCCGAGAACTCAATCTGACCAAATTCAGCATGACTTGTGGGGATCTGAACTCTACTGATTTGACAATCTAGCCCAACACCCTGTTTGTCTTGTTCTACATTTCTAGACCCATACCAGCCGTCCTTTATTAGAATATTTTTAGACAAGTGTTTTTTTTCTGATGTTCGACCTCATCAGTTTTTCAATGATTGAGGTCAGGCTGATGGATCTTACCCAATGGTAAAACATGATACACAATAAGACAGAAGGTTCATAAACTCAGCCGTGTGAGGATGTCAACATGCTTTACTGTGTGTAACTATTCATTCATTAACCACAGAGATAACCTTTTTGCCACTACAGAGGATGCTATTATTGCAGAATAAATATGTTCTGCAATTGTCTTTCTAATTAATTTGTACAGTAGATTATTGTATGAATAAATTAATTCTGATTTACACACAAAGTAAACAAAGGCCTCCCAGTTGAATGTATCTTCAGATATTTGTATTTTAATTAACCCTTTTTTTCATTATAGGAAGAATTTTATTTCAAATAAAAAGCAACTCAAATATCATCTAAAATAATTGAGGAAGCAAATAGTCAATGAAATTCCACAAGTCCTAAATATTCACTTTAGTGCTCTCAATAAGTAAATATCTTGTATTATGCTTAATCAGGAGGTATGAGAATTACATCACATCGGAGACCTTTTATGGAAGCAAATACGCTAACAGCAAACGTTGAAATTTCTCATCAGGGAACAGATATCAAAGCAGCTAAAACGGACAAAACAAATGTTTGCTTGATCAGATAGAGTCAGACATAACTCACAGTAATGATGGACATAGAGAAGTGAATAAATGCAATGAAAGGAATTCAGACTTCCTCTGAAGTCCATTACATATTAGCATTAATTACATTTATAAACACAGTTATTCAGTTGGCTTTCTCAGACCTCACTTATACGTAGGCAATTACTGTCAAGAAAACTCCACTTTTTCAGGAAACAAATTGATTAGGTCAGCAACTGCACTTACAAAGTCTGAGTATCAGGCACTTCATTTAATTTGTTTTAATACTACACCGTTAGCTGAATATGAAGCAGTCATACTCCGATGGCTTACATTTAGATTAGATCGTAATTGAGCAGAAATCAAAGGTTCAATTGAACAATCACAAAATTTGAAAGAAATATTACAACTATTGTCTGTAATGTACTTACACATGGTCCATAACTTGGGAAGCATTTAATTTATAGTTACTTGCACTGTATTTTGTTAAAGGAGCTTACATTTGTGGCAACCAGCATACAAATGAGAGCAGTTATAACCACATTACTGTTTCTGTACAAGATTCCAGTTTGCATTCTGTTGTCTGATAGTCAGAGAAGAAGGAACCTGAGAGGCAACCGAGCTATCAGCCGCCAGCCAGTGGCCAAGAAAAGCTATAATATTCATAACAAATTACTGTCAGCATTTTATTGGTAAAAATCGTTTTTGCCCCATAGTCATGCAATTTTTACTCTTATTTGTTTACTTATTGAACAGAAACACAATTTCAGTGACACATAGAGATGCAAATGTAGCCATCAATTGGACCACAAACTATAATTGCTGCACATTTATTTAAGCATTAACAGCTAATCATCTAAACTGCGCAAGTGAATTGATGATAAGCTGTTCAAAGATGTGACTGCAACTTACCAATCCTCTATTTCCTGTACAATGCAGATAGAATATATTTAGGGGTTTTGACCAGAGTCTAATTTTTGAAGGAAATGTTTTGTAAGGTTTTCTTATCCTTTTTCTTTTTCTGTTTGTTTTCAGAACTGCCTTTTCTTTGTGTTATCCTTTAGGAAAAACTGAGAATGAACACATAGGGCAAAGGACACACAACATTAAATATTTTCCACAAAGAATAGTTTTGAAGCATCCAATCATTTGTATTAATTTCTGTTTTACACAGAAGCTCAGATGCCCTTTGTCAAGCTGTTTGTGACAGAATCATTCTGCATAAGTCGAATGTTAAATAATACCTCTAATGCGATTTGAAAATACCAAATGTGAATGGTGAAACTCTCCAGAATTAAAGTATTATCAAATTCAATTTGAATTAGAACATTTATTTATTAAGCTACAATATTGAACAGTTTGAGTGCCGATCCTCGTTTAGATTTCGTAGCAGCAAATATAGTAATCCTGCAAATTAATTTAGTATTTGATCTGTACTGTCAACGTTTTCTGAATGACTAGGTCCAATCGCTATGATGTGCAATAAATTACAAAGGTCCCAAGGGCTGGCATTCACATGTGTAAAATGTGAGCAGAGATGAAACCAGAGAGTCTAAAACTGATTATGGAATTCCTGTGGTATGGAAACCTTTGTTTCTTGCCACAAATACATCATATCCCATAACTATGTCATCCAGAAGGATGTGGGCTAACAGAAAATCAGACCCAAACTACTCAGTGTTTCACCAGATAATTAAATGCAGGGGCACAACGAATTGAATGGACTCACTATACTGGAAGCTCTTTTTGTACTATTGATCTGTTCTCAAAAGAACATTTCTCACTGTAGCTTTCATCTGTTGTTCAGTCACATTTCCACATTGCCAGAGATCTGTGCACTAGGAAAGGAGAAAGTGCATGTGCACAGGTGCAATTTCAACGATGGACCAAAACATGTAAAGTAGGAACATTAAACAACAATGTGTATTTTTGAAGCACCCTTCACGTAGGATAACATCTGTGTGCTTCACGAGCATGGCTTTGGATGCTGAGTGAGGGAGAAGGGAGAGGCAGAGGGCTGGGAGGGCAAGGGGAAGGTGACAATAAGTGTGGTCCAAGAGG